GCTGTTGCTAACGGATTCTTTCGTTCGGGTAACATTCATTTCGTTACGAACTTTTCTTGCTGGGAAACAAATATATGTTTGACTTAGTCTTTTATTGAATTTCGCGAAAACTACTAGAGGCTATCTAGTAAACTAGTCAACATCACCCACCGCAAACTCTTGGGCTACTCCTTTTACCAACGAATAGTGGTATTGCCTGTTACATTATAACGCTTCTCCACGGCTGATAGGGAGAGCATACTGGGTAACAGGGATTCGAACCCGCGATCCATAGATTGTGAGTCGAGCGCTCCTAACCAGCAGGCCGGACAAGCCACGCCTTAATACTACACGCAAACTTTACAAGAGGAATGCCTTTAGGGAAAGAGGTAGTTTCATGGAATCATACAACACGAACATTAGAACTGGAACGTCCTGTTTCTTTGTTGTTGTTTTAGTAATAACATTCTGCCATATATATAATTTATTTATAAGATGGGTAAGATGCCATTTAAGCGGAAGTATGAAACAAAAAAAAATATTCAAAGCTCCCTTCAAAAAAAAAATATTGATGTAAAGGAATTATACAAGGAAAATAAAAAGACGTTCTAGCGGAATAATAAAACACAAAAACTCAAAACTTTTGTTTTTGGTAATGTGTCATGCGAATACCAAATATGTCTGAAACAATTTTACAAGGTGGTTCAAGTAGAAGCGTTCTTTTGAAGTATGTATTTTCAAATGAATTATACAAAAAAAAGGTAAGAGATATTATTTAGTTCATTGGTTCTCAAACTGTTTTGTTCGCGAACCACTTGGTTTTTTTTATATTGACGGACTAAGTGAGATCTGCATGCTATGTTGCAGCTTTCTATCTCTAAAATCCGGAGTTTGATTTCCCGCGGTGGACACAGAAGATAGGCCAATGTGGCTTTGCTCTAAAAACAACAACAAACAATTTATTCGGTAATTATGTAACCTTTCCAAGGACTACTTGATTGGATCCCACGAACCACAAATTGAGAACCGCTGATGTAGGGAATACAATGTACTAATAAATTACAAATTAGTAACTGAGAGCCACCTAGTGGTTCAGCAGTAAGTCTGAGGGCCTATAAAAAAAAAAGAGGATTTTGATATTCAAAGTGGGCACAGCACAGATAGGTCATTGTATAGCTTAATAACACACAGTAACCGAAAGTAACATTTAATGCGAAAAGCATACACATTGTCGATTATTTTTTATTTTTTTTTGCTGTCTTTTAAATGTATATGCAGCTTAGCAAGTATAAGCTGTAATTAATTATATAAATATATACATACGTATATATATATATAAACATACTCATGTATATATATATATATAGCACTATAAACAAAACATAGCCAACATTTTCAAGATAAGCTAGTTATGAATTTTGAAGATAACTATATATGTTGTGGATTTTTGTCATGGCTATTGTCTAAAATAACGGTCTTTTCATTCGAACGGAAAAAAAAAGACTTTTCATTTTCCTGGGATGTATACCAATTCATATTTTAATGAGTAAAATAAGACACATCGTTTTCTGTTTCTTTAGCCTACGTTCGTAGACCTAAGATAATTGAGAAAACTCCAGAATTACTGTTATATTTATTCATAATGCTATGTGCTACTTTTACAAACACTTTCATAAGTTCTTACCTTTCAAAACTTGTCTTTCTTAATAATTAACGTCATTTAAAGAGATTTTATCTCGGAACGAAGAGCGATGTATAGTGATCAACGAATACGTTTGCTGACGAATAAGATGTTCATATATATTAACAGTTTCCCTAAAACAACAAATTTGTAAAAAAACAAACAAAAAAACATAATTTTCTAAACGAACCTAATTCCTGAAGTGGAGGACAATAGAAAGCAGTTTTATCCACATTTTTCTTTTATCAGATGCAATTAATCATATAGGCCTATGCGAAAATTAAACTTAAAGTTACTCACGTCACATCAAACGTAGGCCTATTACTATTAGCATTATCATAGTTTAATTCTTGTATTGTTTAACTTCTATAACAAAAACGTTAAGTTTAATTTTGGCTGAAACTACACTAGTTTAACAAATAAATGTAACAAGAAAATAAATAAAACAACAGTTGTATTGAAACATGCAATTGTAAAACTAACCAGAGCAGTTCCACTTTATGCTATCAGCAGATTTCTTATGAATAGAATGCTCTTTGGAGAACTAGAAGATCTATGGCCCGCAGGAACAATACTTTATTTATTTATATTTGTCATGGACACGTGCATATTTGAATGATCTTTAAGACGTGAACATTTGAAAAACACTGCTAGCACAGGCTTCATTCCTTTACTTTTTTATATGTTTTTTTTTTGTTTTCTGGCATATAACTGTAATATTTCCAGAGAGTATATAAACGGCTAGTAAATCCTGGTAACAACAGGGTGAGTTTAGGGAGAAACTCTTTGAACAGAGCCTAGAAAGATGACTAAAACGGTATGTTTATTACATTTTCATCACATGTTGTATATTTTTCTCTTGTTTAAACACTTGAATCGATTCTGCTCAGTTTTAAGCTACATTTTAACTTATCCTTTGCCGTTGCTCACCATTTTGTATATTAATGTCTTTTGCTATTTGTTATTCTACAGTTTCTAAACACTGAGCCCCCCCCCCTTTTGCTATTAAACACAAAAGTAAATGATACACACTAGTAAAGCTTTTTATAAGCATAACCAAACAACAACGTAAATAATCAATAGGCTTCATTGTAGGCTTTGTTCAAATTTCTAGCAGGTTATCTTGTCTGCATAGATTTTGTATTGTGAAAGTGTAATGCAGTTAAAGTTTCATTGTACGAAACGAAGTACTCATACCTACATTTGGTTGTGAAAATTGCAAGTTTGTTTTATAATTTGATAGCTATGAATATGCAGAGAATTATGGTAGTTTGTCTGAATAAGGTCTATCTAGTTCATTGTCCTTTAGCCCTAATAGGGCTATTGGCCATTCATTACGACTGGAAAGTTCTCTGTTAACTTTTTTTTTCATAATTTCAGTACTTGGATATTTTTAACGTCAATGCCTTTTACCCGTCAGTAAAAAAAGGTCTTACCTACCCACGTTCTGCCACCACAAGTTTTATTATAAAATGTTGATAACCCTATTCATCCGTCACGTGTCTTTCCGTGTCTGGAGTTTTGTTTCTAGCATTTCGTTCCCCACCAAAGTGTTTTAATCACATTGTAGACATCACAACAGATAATTCAGTTTAACACAACACCGGCGGAATAATAAAATAACAGCTTTATAGACTCTGTATAAAAGATGATACCAGGCTGCTTCTAGGGTTTATTTCGAGGCTACAAATAGCACATTTCGGCTTCTGTAACTTACAACTGCATTTCAACATTATCTATTGTATAATTAATGTGTATTTTTGCTAGTATTTACCATACTTGTTCTACAGTTTGGTAGAATATTCGTGACAAGTTAAAATTGTGCTATTTTCTCCTCTTGTGTCATAAAGAGATTAAGTAAGATTGAATACTGAAGAAGGAATATTACATTTGTTTCTTTATTGCTCCTTCTTTGCCATTTATGATACATATCCATCAACATTTCAGCTCACGTTCGTGTTATCGTTGTTCCTCACCGGCGTGGTAATTGGCGCCTCTGATGACTCCACCTCCTCAACTAGCGAAGAGGATCTCCTGCAAGCAGAAGCTACTGGTTACGGTGGAGGAACATTTGGTGGTGGTGGTGGTGCTGCTGCTGCTGGTGCTGGAGGTCTCGGAAGTTTTGTTACTATTCCTGTTCAGGCAAGTATCCAAAGTTTAATAGGATGTTTTTAACAATAGTTTCTAGTATTCAGTGTTTCCCATTCTTTTTTCTAAGTTCCAAAATATTGATAATAATGAAACACGAGTCACCCGATTGGGCAGCGGTAAGTCTACAGAGCTACAAAGCAAAAATTCGGGGTTCGATCCCCCACGATGGACACAGCAAATAACCCAATGTGGCTATATTTTGGACCCCCCCAAAAAAAAAACCTGTGAAACACGATGCGAGGATACTTACAATCCAAAGTATTTCCGAAGAACCTTACACGGATATTTTGAATTGAGAGTTGTTACTATTATAGCTTTAAATCACGCTTTTAACGAGCTTAGTTTTAACATTTGTCTTATCCAGAACGTACATAGATTCTTAAGTTATTGTTTTTTCAAGATGGCGCTGTGATCGCATTTTTTTATCGCATGTTCCACGGTTGGTTACTGGAATGAAGAAAGGTTGTGTGATGTATTTGATCTCCTAAATACTTACTCTCCTAGACGAACTATTCTCTACGCCAGCACTTCTCAATCTCTGGTGCGTGAGCTCCCTTCAGGTGGTCCGTAGAAATGTTGCATAACTATACAAAGGAAGTGGTAGTGTAGTGTATAGATCCCATTTTAATCGGTGAAGATAAAAATAACAAACAGGTTGTCAGTAAACAAAAAGTTTGAGAATCACTGCTCTGCAAACAGTTTGGATAAGGCAATAAGAAAAGAATTAAGGAGATTGAACATGTGTTAGATATTTTGAATTTGCTAATATTAACAATTATTTCTCAGCTTTGTTTATTTTGAACTTGAAAGGAAAGTGTGAAATCAATAAGAAGTAGGGATTTATTTTTGCAACACTTGTGCTAGTACTGCTAAAGATTAATTACAAGGTGTAACACATTAATTATGAATATATTTGGTGAAAAAGTAATCAACCATTTTTATGAATACATATAGGCACAGCCAGTACAAGTGAGTGTAATAAGTGGAGGCAGCGGTTTGGGTGGAGGTGGTGGTTTTAGCGGCACTGGCTTGGGTGGAAGCTTCTACAGTGGTTACGATGGTCTTGGAGGAGGAATCGGCTCTACTGGTGGATATGGAGGAGGAATTGGTGGTGCTGGTGGAGGAGCAATTGGCGGTTTCGGAAGAAGAGGAGTTGGTAGATTCAGAAGTGGTGGTGTGACGGTTCTTGCTCTTCTCGCTATACCCATCTCTTTGCCAGTTACAGGAGCCGGTGGTGGAGGCATTGGCGGAGGTGGTTTAGGAATTGGAGGATTGGAAGGAGGTGGTTTAGGCATTGGAGGATTGGGAGGAGGTGGTTTAGGAATTGGAGGATTGGGAGGAGGTGGTTTAGGAATTGGAGGATTGGGAGGAGGTGGTTTAGGAATTGGAGGATTGGGAAGAGATGGTTTAGGAATTGGAGGATTGGGAAGGGGTGGTTTGGGAGGCGGTTGGTTCAGAAAAGGTGGCTAAGGTTGGGACAAAATCACCTAAATATAGCTAAGGAGATACCACATCCTTAATGAACTCACCAATCTTTTGAATCATCTATTTGTATACAAGATGGGTCAGAATGGTCTGATCACTACAAGGCTCTTTTTAAATTGTAGTTTAGTGTCTAATTTAAAACGACACAAATATTAGTTTTACGAATCTTTTGCCTTTTAAAACGACTTAACAGGTGGGAAAGTCTTTGTTCTGTAAGACAGATGTAAGATATTTTCTGGTATGATGCTAATAAACGTTTTGTTGGGATGAGTGGAGCATGTTTTCTACTTAGAAATAAAAACAATAAAACTTACAGCACGAAATGGTTTCCTGAGAAAGTTGGAACTGAGATTTGGCTAAATTATTACAAGGATGTTTTGTTTGCTTTCGAATGTTCGCGCATTACTAGAAGGCTGTCTGCGCTTGCTATACCTAATTTTCAATTAATAGACTAGAGATAAGGCAGCTACTTAACATCACCCATCGCCAACTCATGGATTACTCTTGTCTGACCGAATAGTGGGATTTGACCGTTACCCTTATAAAGAACCTAGGCTCCAAAGTGAGAAGCGTCATTTCCCAGTTATAACTGAATGCGAAAGTCCAACTCATATATCTATATTCCAGCACGCTAACCACTGAATTTTTGTGAGACATACTAAACTGCTTTGTATAGAATGTCCATTTTACGTTATATGCAACACTTTCTGCGATACACAAGCTAAATGACCAAGTCAAAGACCCGAGTTGTTGACCATATCCAACCCTAATTTAGAAACGTTGACCAGAGAAAGAGGGCTATCAGTCAGTAGTACTCGATGTCTACATTTCTAATCAAAATCAATTGCATAGAATTGCAGAACGTGTTTAGTGGCCTACCACGGTTCGAACCTTGGACATTTCGTACGCAGCCCGGCATGTTAATCATTAGCACGTTAATTTTGTGCTTGTATGTTTTACAGTTATAATGTATTGTTATACTGACTGTTGGAGAAAACTAAAATTAGCTTGAATTACAATATGTAGACAAATTATTACAAAAGTTGTGGCGGCCAAAGTGTTATATTTCTCGCACATCCTCTAAGCTCTGATGTAGTTGTATTTTCCATCGCTAGGTAGCACTTGTAATTTTGTTAGAATTATTTTAAGTTAGCTACATAGATTTAATTCTGATCCGGAAAAGTAATATTATATTTGTATGATGTATAACACATTGAATTTGGTGAATCCTGAGCTTGTAACTATGTATCTGGTGAAACACGAGCGTATAACATTAATACTGGTTAAATGCCAGCTTATAACACCGAGATCTGACGAAAACCGATTTTATAACACTGGATCTGGCGAAACATGAATTAATAATACTGGATCTAGAGGAATCCGAGCTTATAACACTGGATCTGGTGTAGCACGAACGTATACCACTGGATGTGAACAATTATAAACTTTGGCGCCAAAAAAGAGAACACACAAGTGACAAACGATTAGTTAGAAATGTTTAATACTCCAGTATATACATACAAAATGTTTCTTATGTTTCTTACACGAAGAAGAAAGTGTACAATATGAATAAAGACCATAGAACAAATGAACAGAAATAATATAATTAAAAAATTTAATTTAAAAAGGGGAATATGGTTTTTCAGAAAAGTACAGAAAAAAAGTTGAATCAAATTGCAAAGATTATACTTCCAAGCCTACAACTAAGAACTCTAAAAGCAAGCAAACTAGGCTGAAAATAATGTCTACATTATTTTCTCAAGCTGCAAGTCCCTATTTTGACTCCATTTCTACAGTACTTATCAATTTCAGGTCGAATAAACGAATTAATTTTAAAACTACCCTTTGACATAATGAATGCTACATTCATTACTATTGTCCAGGTTTCAGTAAAATATTCGTAACCGTTTTTTTCGGTAGTGGCTTGTAAAACTATAATCAATAATAATAAGGCTGGAAATATTTTTATGGATATACACGTTGTTTACTCTAATAAAACGAAGTGTTTCCGACTAGAACAAACAGGAGCATTTCTGGCTAGTATAATGGTGCTTGAATGGTTTCTATATTTCTGCGATGCTTGAATGGCTATGAAGAGCTTATGTTGATAGTGAAAAACTTAGAAAGTTTTAAAGGGTGGAAATCTCGACTTTCAAGAATGAACTCAAAAATAGCCCTACAACCTTCGCAGGAGTTTTTTTTGGTAGCTGTGCATAAATTTTGGCGTAGTATACCTAGCCGTTTTTATTGTAGGCTTCGGTGCTTGGATGACTTGGACGAGAAACTTGACCAGTAGCGATGAAAAAACTGCTAAGATTTCTCCTTCTCTCTCAAGAATCAACTTAAAAATAATCCTATGACCTGCGCATGAGTTGTTTTAGTAGGTCTACCCAGATTTTAATAAAATATTCATAGCAGTTTTTCCTGTAGGCTTGATAAACAAGAATAAATGAGTAATAATAATAATAGTAATAATATGAAGAACAAATAATGAATTTTGAATTTTGTCTAACAATCAGAAAGCCCCCTAATGGTACAGTGGTATGTCTGCAGACTAGTACTTCTAGAAACTGGGTGAACAGGTAACCCTTTGTGTAGCTTTGTTCTTAATAACAAACAACAATAACAACATTCGGAAAATCAACATTTTTTGTTATCATCAATATTTTAGCAGCCTTAGCCATTGAGATAGAAGGTCTTGAGTATAATTTCAAGAATTGGTCTGCTTTTAGTGATGGTTTTTGCTCGTATGTTCTATTAGAAATTTTCTGAAATTCATGGCAATCTTTATTATGAACCACAATTTTTATCGTCAGTGCCTGATAAAGCCAATATGCAGACTATCAAAACCACCAGATAGAGTGCAATATATACAATAATATCAATAAATCACAGTATCATTTGTGAAGCCAATAACACAGTTTGATTTTTTTGCCCAATTGGTCCACGCCACATGTTCACTTTGTCAACAAACCAGGATTTGCCACATTTTTTTCAATACACCTCAGTAGAAATCTTCTATTCTCCAAACAATCAGTACATAGTTGCCCCCTTTCAGTGCTTCAGCAGTAAGCCTGCATGCTTACAACGCTAAATTTCGGATTTAGATACCAGTGATGGGCACAGAACAGATAGCCTATTGTGCAGTTTTGGGCTTAGCAACAACTAAACCAGTACAGTGTTACCTAGTTTACGATACTCATCTACATATCCGGATAAGCAAGGAGAACAGTACTCCAGATACTCCAGTCGAGGCATGAATTCCAGTAAAGATTATTAGTCCTTGTAGAATTATAATTCGCCCGTTTCAACATGATGCTGTTAGTGCAGAGCTGGTGTAAGAGTGTCAAAAGTCTCGTCACCTTGTTATGGTAAGAGAGCTTATGTGTACCAGTGACTCTGAGAGTGATGTCGTTGGTAGTTCTTACTCTTGGCACCTTCACCCTAGGCGGTAAGATCAAGAAGGAGGGACCAGATGAAGAACAACACAGAAGACGGATCAGGTAGAGGGAATGTGCAACATTTTAAATGGCTGTGATGGCAGATGAAGACTTCAATGAGGAAGTACTGCTAATCGTCTTGGTTGTCCATGCCATTGGAACACCAGTACTGACCTGCCAAAGTAGTGTGGTTGGCGTCATGCACAGGCTTTTCCTGGGTAATAAACAAGTCTAACATGAACAGTGTATGGAAGACACCTCAAAGCCCTTGAAGGATTCCATCAGAGATGCATCCATCGAATCCTTGGAATCAACGGACAAAAGAATCAACATCAGCGTCCTTGAAGAGGACTATTCCACAGGCATTGATGTCTGGCTGATAAAAGTTCAACTTTGTTGTGCCTGTCACTGTCTCCATATACGGGAACATTGCTTTCCTCCTCAAGTCCTCTTCTCGGAACTTCGTCACGGCACTCGTTCTCGGGGTGGACAAGTAAAAAGATGGAAGGATAATCTGAAATTCAACCTCAAAAAGTATTCATCAACCTCAACACATGGGAGGAGGATGCGTCTGACCATTTCCGTTGGCATCCTCTAATCCATCATGCGACAGAAACATTCAAAATCTCTCTTTGAGCACTACCTGCCAAAAATGTTCCAAAGAATGAAAATTTCGAATTATGCTGTTCAATCACATGAGAACACATTCACTCTAGGAGACGTTGTCTTCGCTCGTGAAGAACTGCCGACGATGGTGTAAGAATTGTGAACTTCTATAAGACCTTCAAAAACTTTTCCCACCATTGATGTAAGGTGAATAGGCGTAATAATAAGTTGGGAAACAACGATTTATAAGTATGTTTCAACAAAAATAAAGCACTTCATTATGGTTATAAGTCGTTGTTTGCCAACTTATTATCATATTAGCATAATGTGTTTCCTTGTTCAAGTACTAATAATTCTGGGACTATTTTTTATCACCACCCTTTAAAAAAAGAAGTAACATTAGCAACTTCAAATATTCTAGCGCCTGTCCACTATTTAAAGACTTAAAATGTCCTTATTTAGGAAAAACATTGACTTGTTAGAAAGGGTTCAAAGTAGAGCTCTTAGGATGATACTTGGAATGGAAAGGTTAAATACAAGGATAGGTTATGATTTGTGAAACTGTTTTCTCTTGAAAAAATTCAACTGACTCCTTGGACGTTTTTGTAATGAGGACAATTACCTCAAGAAACCAGCATTCATTCCTGGATTGAGGACGCTGATGGAACACATATAATCCTATTGAATTTAATAATTTCAATCCCTCATTTCTGTCAAGAAAAGTATTTTATTACTTGAATGTTTACTTTATTTATGTTGTGTTAATGAATAGTTAAGTCAATTAAAATTGTAGAAATCCGATTGTAGCCAGTTTATCTATCTTATATATTACTTATTCTTTTACCATTCTTTTCTAGAAGAGAAATAATGTCAATAACAGAAGGTGTTTGGAGAACACTCACGAAACACGATAGGCCTAACAGAGGTGTTTTTAACCAG